GAACCCGGAGGCAGGAGCTGACGCAGAGGCCTTGGAGGGGTGCTGCTTACTGGCTTGCTCACCAAGGCTCGCTCAGCCTGCTTTCTTATAGAACCCAGGACCAGGGGTGGCACCTCCCACAATGGACTGGACTCTCCCACATCAAACATTAATCAAGAAAATGCCTCCACAGCCTTGCATATGGGGCAATGTGATGGAGGCATTTTCTCAGTTGAGGGTCTCTCTTCCAGATGACCAGAGCTTGTTTCAAGTTCAAGGCAATTAGCCTGGACAGCAGTGCTCATGCGCTAGGGAGGGAGTCCCTTTTCTCCTGCTCTCTGCAGCTGTCTGACTTTCCTCTAGAATTCCCACCCTGGCTCTCACTTGCTACAGTGCACTTGAACCATGTAACACCTATGTATTTACCCCCATATCTGCCCTCCCCCACCTGGAAGGGTAAAAGAAATTTCCCATAATCCATGGAGGAAAATGACCTCTCCTATGGGTTGGGACTCTCTCCCAAGTCCATTACCAGAAGACTATACTGACTAGGAGAGGAATGTTCATGGGGTCCTAAGAGGTGGAAAGATGCATGCTCCATTCCATCCTCCAGACCAAGGTGGACAGGGATAGCCAAGGTAGCTCAGCATCACCTCTAAAAGAACCTTCCTGCCAGATGTGTCTGGTGGCAGACGCCTACAGTCCCAGCTGTTCAGGAGGCTGAAGTGAGATATGAAAAGTTAAAGGTCTAATCTGGGCTACAAAGTGACTTCATGTTGAGGGAATTTTTTTTTTTTTTTGTCCACTGTGAACATGTGTCTCTGCCAAGGCACCTTCTGATTGGTTTACTAGAGAGCTGAGCAGCTAATACCTAGGCAGGAGAGGATAGACAGGATTTCTGGGAAGAGAGGGAGGAACTTGGGGGATTGGCCAGCCAGACACAGAGAACGTGGGATGTACAGTACTGAGAAGAGGTAATGAGCCGCATGGCAGAATGTAGATTAATATTAAAGCCAAAATGGGAAGCCAGACTGACAGGTGCTTCCTGAGACCCAAAGAAGGTAAGGGAAGAGCCCAGGGTCACTGAAGAGGTACAGGGCAGAAAGCAAACAAAGTTTTGGAGGCTTGAGCTATTCTGGAAGCCGCACTTTGCTCTGCCCAGGGTTGCTGCATTAGTCCTTACACGGCTGTCAGAAGCAGTCCTTACACGGCTGTCAGAAGCAATCCCTCCATGGCTGTCAGAAGCAGGTCCAGGTTAATGACCTGAGCTGAGGGCATAGGAGTGGCTCAGCTGCAAAGATGAACCAATGTCTCCACTCTGAGTGGCATGCGATTCTCCTATGGCATAAAAAGGGCTTGCCACCTGTCACAGTGTGCTCTTTTTACTCCTCTTTAGAAAGACTGTAAGAGCCAGAGGGCTGGAGGGCCAGGAAAACAAGGCCTCCAAATCAACTAAATCAACTAAGCAAGGTGCACATGGGCTCACACAGACTGAAGCAGCCAGCACCGGGCCTGCGCAGGTCTGCACCGGGTCTGCTGTGTGTGTATAGTTAGTAGCTTAGTATCGTGACGAGACATCTGACTGAGGACCAGTGGGCATGTGAATATCTCACTACATCGGACTCCTGTGTCTGCTCTTGCGACTCTTCCTCCTGTTCGGTTGCCTTGTTCAACTTAAATATGATAGCTTTTCCTTCGTCTAATTATATTTTTCTTTTTTTTGTAATTTTTTTTGTAATTTTACATATCAATCCCAGTTCCCTCTCTCTCCTATTCTCCCATGCCCCCCGCAGCCCCCCCCCATCCCATCCCTCATCCACTCCCCAGGGAGGGTGAGGCCATCCATGAGGATTCAACAAACTCTGTCAAGTCATTTGGGCTGGGCCTTGGCCTTCCTCCATGTCTCTAGGCTAAGGGAATATCCCTACATGGGGAATGTGCACCCGAAGTTTGTGCACTGGGGACACATCCTGGTTCTACTGTCAGAGGTCCCTTAGACTGCCGGGCCTCCTAACTGAGACCCACGTTCAGGGGGTCTGGGTCGGTCTAATGCTGGTTTCCCAGCTATCACTCTGGGTCCAGGTCAGCTGTCCCTGTGGGTTTCTCCAGCCTGTTCTTGACCCCTTTGCTCATCACTCCTCCCTCCCTGCAACTGGATTCCAGGAGTTCTGCTCACTGTTTAGCTGTGGGTGTCTACTTCTGCTTCCATCAGCTACTGGTTGAAGGCTCTAGGATGGCATATAAGGTAGTCATCAATCTCATTATCAGGGTAGAACATTTAAGGTAGCCTCTCCACTATTGCTTAGATTGTTAGTTGGGGTCATCCTTGTAGGTCTCTGGACATTTCCGTAGTGCCAGATTTCTCTTTAAACCTATAATGGCTCCCTCTATTATGGTATCTCTTTTCTTGCTCTCCTCTATTCTTCCCCCAACTCAATTTTCTTGCTCCCTCATATTCTCCTCTCCCCTCCTCTTCCCCCCTTCTGTTTCTCCTAACCCCCTCTACCCTTCCCACAACTGCTCCCAGTTTGCTTAAGAGATCTTGTCCCTTTCCCCTTCTGTGGGAGACCATGTATGTCTCTCTTAGGGTCCTCCTTGTTTCTTAGCTTCTCTGGCAGTGTGGATTGTAGGCTGGTGATCCTTTGTTTATGTCTAAAATCCATATATGAGTGAGTACATACCATGTTTGTCTTTTTGTGACTGGGGTACCTCACTCAGGATGGTTTCTTCCAGTTTCATCCATTTGCCTGCGAATTTTAAGAATTTCTGCTGAGTAGCTGAGTAGTACAGTTGAGTGGCATCTAGGTTGCTTCCAGGTTCTGGCTATTACAAATAGTGCTGCTATGAACATAGTTGAACAGATGTCTTTGTTGCATGAATGTGCATCTTTTGGGTATATGCCTAAGAGTGCAATTGCTGGATCTTGTGATGGATTGATTCCCATTTTCCTGAGGAACCACCATACTGATTTCCAAAGTGGCTGCACAAGTTTGCACTCCCACCAGCAGTGGAGGAGTGTTCCCCTTTCTCCACATCCTCTCCAGCATAAGCTGTCATTGGTGTTTCTAATTTTAGCCATTCTGGCAGGGGTAAGATGGTATCACAAATTTGTTTTGATTTGCATTTCCCTGATGGCTAAGGATGTTGAGTACTTTCTAAGTGTCTTTCAGCCATTTTGGATTCCTCTATTGAGAATTCTCTATTTAGTTCTGTACCCCACTTTTTAATTGGATTATTTTGTGTTTTGGTGACTAGCTTCTTGAGTACTTTGTATATTTTGGAGATCAGCCCTCTGTCAGATGTGGGGTTGGTGAAGATCTTTTCCCATTCTGTGGGCTGCCATTTTGTCTTGTTGACTGTGTTCTTTGCCTTACAGAAGTTTCTCAGTTTGAGGAGGTCCCATTTATTAATTGTCAATCTCAGTGTCTGTGTTATTGGCATTATGTTCTCTTTTGATTGATTTTAGTTTTAAGTCTAATTTGTTAGCTAATAGGATAGGTACACTAGCTTGTTTTTTGGGTCCATTTGATTAAAAAATCTTTTCCCAACCCTTTACTCTGTCTTTGAAGTTGAGGTATGTTTCTTGTATACAGCAGAAGAATGGATCCTGTCTTCATATCCATCCTGTGTCTTTATATAGGTGCATAAAGACCATTAATATTGAGGGAAAATAAGGACTATTGATTGTTAATTCTTACTTGTTTTGAATTTGTTGGTAGTGGTGATATTGTGTGTAGATTTACCCTGCTTTTTCTTTTGGCTTCTGGTAATATGGGATTATCTATTGCCTATGTTTTTGTGAGTGTAGCTAACTTCCCTGGGTTGGAGTTTCCTTTCCAGAACATTCTGTAGGGCTGAATTTGTGGATGTGTATTATGTAAATCTAGTTTTGTCGTGGAATATCTTGTTTTCTCCATCTATAGTGATTGAGAGTTTTGCTGGGTATAGTAGCCTGGGCTGGCATCTATGGTCTCTTAGTGTTTGTAGAACATCTATACAGAACCTTCTTGCTTTCAGGGTCTCCGTGGATAAGTCAGGTATAATTCTGGTAAATCTGGCCTTATATGCTACTTGGCCTTTTTTCTTCACTGCTCTTAATATTCTTTTTTTTAAATTCTGTATGTTTGGTGTTTTGATTATTATGTGGTGAAGGGACTTTTTTTTTTTTTTTTTTTTTTTTTTTTTGTCCAGTCTATTTGGTGTTCTGTAGGCTTCTTCTGCTTTCATGGGCATGTCCTTCTTTAGGTTGGGAAAGTTTTCTTCTATGATTTTGTTGACTATGTTTTCTGCACCTTTGAGCTGGGCTTCTCTGCCTTCTTCTATGCCTGTTATTCTTAGGTTTGGCCTTTTCACAGTGCCCCACATTTCCTGGATGTTTTGTGTTAAGGATTTGTTGGATTGAAGATCTTCTTTGGTCACACTCTGAGAGAAGGAAAGATCTAGAAGTTTCCCCATTACTCTAGCTGCCTCCTGAAAGTGGCTTCTCCTAGCAGATGGGGTCCCAGCCTAGTAGTGAGCAAGGAGGACCATCTGACAGGGTCCCTGTAGCTCACCTTGGCACTGTGCCCACCGAATCTGATGATACAGGACCACAGCATTGTCAGGAGAGGGGTAAACCACACACTGGTACAGCCCCACATCCTGCCTCTGCATCCCAGTCACCGCGACCTTGACCACAGCTTTGGTGGGATAATCCTCCAGCAAGTACCTCCCAGCCCAGGCCAAACTGAAGTCTCCATTTCTGTTGTTTGTGAGCACCAGCGTCTCTGGAGAAGCCAGGCTTCTGAGCCTCTCCCAGGCCTCAGGCTGAGTGGGCACAGCATGATGTTGTAAGGACAAGTCTCAGAGAGGTTCTTGCCCTCTGGAAGGAGATATGTCCTTCATGGATGCCTCTCACATCAACACAGAGGCAGCACGTTCATAGGGGGATTTGGGAGCACTCTCACTATACCCACTCCGTGGATTATTTGGTGTGTCTGTGTCAGCAATGTATGTTCACATATGGCACCAACAAGGCCAAATGTTTGCAGTAAATATTTTATCTGCATTTTATAGGATGCATATTTTTCATTTGAAAAGTTACAAAATATCTCTACCAGGATTACATCATCATTCCTTTTTCTAGAAATGTGTGTCATGTGCAGGCAGCCATCCACCTGTCTGTCTTCCTGTCCTGCATTTTTTCTTTTTCCTTCTCTCTCTTCTTCTTCATTTCTTTCTTTCTTCCCAAGGTCTCGCTTTGCAACCCAGGCTGATCTGAACTCAACACATAGCCTAGGCTGCTTCAGACTCATGGCAGCCCTCCCAACTCATCCTCCTGACTGCTGGATGATAGGTATACACCACCATACCTTACTCAGCCTCCTGACTGCTGGATGATAGGTATACACCACCATACCTTACTCAGCCTCCTGACTGCTGGATGATAGGTATACACCACCATACCCGTATTGTTTTCTATTCTATATATGGAGGCTCAGACATGCCCATTGCTGCCTGGCACGTGGCCCTTTCAGCTCATCCCTGGTGTCCTCCCTTCTGTCCATCTGCCCAGAGGAGCATCCACTGAACAAGAGCCAACAGCACTAACCTTTCTTCCTTCTTGGCCTCTCATGCCACGGGCCACCCATGCCAGTTTACACTTACGGCCATCATCCCCTATAAGTTTATTAATTGTTTATTATGTGTGAAATACTGAGTCATGTGTTTCCCATCAACCTGCTGGTGATTCTGAGGATAACTTTGTTATATGCACGCCATTTATGCCGTCCTGTGGTTGACTGGCCCTTTAACGTAGATTGCTTCCCAGGTTTGCCTTTAGGTGGGTATCAGCACAGCCCTGGGTAGTCTGGTTGCCACCACATAACTTTCTCAACTTCAATATGGCCCAGAAGAACCTCCAGCTTGTTCATGGCCTGTTCCCTGCTGGGTCACGATGCTCTAACTCCATTCTTTCAGCAGGACTACCGTCCATTCCTCTTGCTGGCACCCCATCCTCTACGTTCCGTTCCTCACCTACCTCTCCTTACCCGAGATGCAGAGCAACAGACCCGGCCATAGAGGCAGCTGTGCACCCCAAGTCCCTGTCTCCTCCATCTGATGCTCCTTCCTGGGAGTGCTATCTGCCAGCGGCCAGAGACAAGGGGCCAAGCTCTTACGTACGGTTGGATCATGCTGCCCGCTTAGATGCTGACTCACTTCTGCTTCCTGATGCGCCACTGCTTTGTCCCATTGAGAAACCGTGAGGGAAATGTGACAAGAGGACACTGCCCGGGGAAAATGAAGAAACAAGAGTCCCTCAGACAGGCTCCTCCCAGCTGTGACATCACAGGTTTGTTGGGAAACTCTCTGTGACTGCCATTCTCCACCACACCTGCGGTCTCTGGGCTCCAAGACATTGTCACGTCCACTGAGCCCTCACACAGTTCTCCCCAAGCCAATGATGTTGAGACATACGGACTTGCCACCTTCCGAGGCCAGGGGCCAATCTGATGTCATTATCCAGACACCGCCTTGTTTTTCCGAGACAGGATATCTCATTGGCATGAACCTCGCCCGCCAAGTAGCCTGGCTGCCTGTCTCCCAGAGCTGGACTATGTGTGTTCATCACCACATCTGGTGTTTTGGTTGTCTCTGGGCTTTACCAACCGAGGCATGTCCTCAGACCTTGAGTCATCTTTAATGTCATTCCACCCATAGTTCTCAGTAGGGCCATATGGCTAGATTACTCATGAAGCTGGGCATCTGGGTTCTACCCTCGGAGGCTCTGAGTCTTGCAGAGGCTTGCAGAAAGGCCAAGATCTGCATTTTTAACAAACAGCCTAAGTGATTCTGGCCCAAGACTCCAGCTAGGCCAGCTATCTTGAGGACACAGACAGTGTGTACCATGAGTACAGTCACTGAGTCTAAACTACTCCTTGTTTTTGTGTATTTTTCTTTTTGAGACGGGATTCCATCATGGAGTCCAGACTGTCCTCGAACCCTGTGTCTTCTTGCCTCAGCCTCCCAGCTGCTAGAGTTCAGATGGGCACCATTTCCCTGATCTCATTCTGCTGCTGAGAAGAAATCGGTGAGGGGAAGGGGTCACTTGGCTTACAGTTCCAGGTCACTGTCCATTATTGCAGGGAAGTCAAGGCAGGAACTCAGAGTGGCCGGGCACACCACACCCCAAGTCAAGAGCAGAGAGAGGATGAACAGCTGCATTCTTGTGGTCTGCCTGCTTCTGACCAGCTCGGATTCCTTATTCGTATAGGGCACAGGGTACAGTCTATGAAATGGTGCTGACCATATACGGGGTGAGCGTTCCCACCTCAACCATCAGTCAAGACGGGGAGGCATACACATGCCTGCAGGGGGCAGTTCCCCACTGAGACTCTCTTCATAGCTGACTTCTAGGCTACAGCAAGCTGACAAGCAAAGAACTGTAACAGCAGACACCACACAACGTTTGCAAGTGTGTGTGTGTGTGTGTGTGTGTGTGTGTGTGTGTGTAGCTTTCCTCCCTGGTTTTTTTTTTTTTTTGTTTTTCTGTTTCTTTGTTTTAAGACATGATCTCTCACTGGCAGGGAGAGGGTCTCTAGCTGGCCAGCAAGCCCCAGGGAACCGCCTGCCACTGCTAACCCAGCTTTTTCACATGGTCTCTGTGGCTAGCACGCAGGTCCTCAAGCTTCTGTGGCAAGCACTACACCACCTTGGCCTTGACTGGGCCATAGCCTCCTGCTTGGTTCTTTGGGCAGAAACAAACACTCTGAGAAGACCACCTTCTGGGTCAATCCTCCAAAGACTCATGCCAGAGCACCAAGGAAAAGAATTCCAGCGAGGCCTCTCCCAACATGAGACTGTGGGGTGGGCAATGCCCTGTGTCTCATCAGTGCAGGATCATACCGAGAGCTGTGTTCACAGGGAAACGTCCTGGAAGCATGCCTAAGGCTTGGAATCTCTGCACGGAGTAGGGGAAAGCCTCCCTGCCAGGAAGGCGCTTTCCTGGCCTGAGGTGGAGGAGCAGCTACGCCTCAGCCTCCTGACTGAGATGCCGCGTGGTGAGATGTGCTTGCTCTTGGGAACCTTAGGATGCAGTTGGCCCCAGCCATTGCTGAAGTAGAATGAGCTAACACACCATCCTCTCCTCACCCACGGGGTCCCTTTGTCCTTACAGCCCAAAGAGATGGGAAACAAGAAAACGACCGTGTGTCCCAGAAACAGCATCAGGGCCACCTGGGAGGAGACAGAGGTAACAGGAGGTGAGTGGGGGGGGCACAGCAGGGACAGCCTCCCCAGCCTGGGATGGGCTCCTGCCCCTGCCATGCCAGCCCCTGTCTCAGGCCAGGAAGACGGCATTCAGCTGGAAGCGGAGCCCTGGCTCTCCATTTCTGCCTTTGGAGCCCTTCAGCAAGGGAACTCTCTAGACTTTACTCCTGCCAGAAGGTGATGGCCTGCTACTCCTGTGGCCTCCCTCTGGTCACATGCACCCTGGTCTTCACCGGTTGCACTGAGGAGTCAATGATAAAGGCACACACATGTTGGTGCATGTACTGATGTAATCCTATGGATGCCATCTCCTTCTCCAAGAGTTTCCCAGACAACAGCAACCAGCTCGATTTCTCTCTCCCAGTTGCATAAGCCTCAAGGTGGGATCTTGTCTTCTTGGTCCATGATTGCAGGTGTTCAGAAGACCACAGATGAAGACAAATCTGAGTGCCGGATTCCCAGAGAGGAAGGCCCCCGGAGGCTGGGAGAGCAGGCTGCTTCATGAGCAAGGGCCCGGCCCAGGTGGCTAGAATTGCACCGCCCAAGGGAAGGACAGGGGCAGGGTGAACAGTGATGACCCCTAAATCTCCCGACTTCCATGGAAGGTGTCACTAGGAGCACTGGGTTCTGTCTTTATTGCAGGCCAACTGGTCTACTCAGGCACAATGGCCAGAGGCCTGGGCAGTTTGCCCTCTTCTGAGGTGCACAGCACACAGCAAGGATGAGGGTGGACTGAGGGGGTGAGCAGGGCCAGCAGGACATCCTGAGCCTTAGATGCCACCCACGATTACAGGCCCTCCTTAGCCCCCACCCCCAGCTCCTCCCGTGAGACAGACATGGCTGAAAGTCAGAGGTCACTGTGCGTGGCATCATGGTCTGTCATCCAAATGACTTCTGTGTGACAGCGAACAAGACCGTGAAGACCAGGGTCTTACTGAAGAGTCCACAGACCACAGGGACAACAATGCTGGACGTGGAGACCCTGTGGAGACAGGAGATTGAAGGACGATTGATGACCACCCATGGTGCAGTCTAGGGAATTCTTCCCCATGCACTCTTGTCAACTTAGGGCCTCCCTGCAGCTTTCCCATGGCCTGTGGGGAAGTTTAGACGCTGTTTATATGGCTGCTTCCTAAAATAACCAGTTAGAAATATGTCTGGTGGAGAGTCGTGAGTTCAGGGCCAGGAGATGAGTAAAGCAGGACGGTTCATCCAGGCATCTTGGCCTTCTCTGTGGAGTCATAGAGGCCCATATCTAGGGAGCCCCGTCCCTGTTGTTAGCACTCTGACCTGCTTCTGGGGACACTTGTCCAACCTTTAGCCTCAGTTTCCCCATCCAGAGACCAAGAAGAACCTAAAGCACTTTCACAAGGGTTACTTTCCCGTGACCCGTGCCTGAGGAAGTAAGCTTGCCACAGGGACATGGGACTCTCCTGCATGCCTGTCCATCAGCAGGACAGTCTCTGCTCTTCTGTCACCTGGGCAAGCGACTCACTGAATCCAAACATTTTTCTTGCAGACAGCTGGGATGGCTGATACTGTCCTGCCTGAACTCTGACCAACAAAATAGTCACAAATATCATAAAATAATAATAACTGATGAATAATCCCATGCTACAGTAGTACAGGATAAAGTTAGCAGGTGAAAGGTATAGCAGTAACCACAATGTGAGTCACAGAGTACCTCCTGTGCCTTGGAAAATAAAGGCAATGGAGGAAAACTAACTTCTAGAAAGATGCCTCAGCGGGTGAGAGCACATACTGTTCTTCCAAAGGGCCTGAGTTACATTCCCAGAACCCACACTAGGCAGCTCACAACTTCCTGTAACTGTAGCTCAGAGGGATCCAACACTTCTTCCATACTATGCAAGCACCTGAACTCACTTGTACAAATCACACAGGCGTGCGCATGCACGCGCGCGCGCGCGCGCGCGCGCGCACACACACACACACACACACACACACACACACGGGCGCAGACACATAACTTAAAAATAAATGTTTTTTAAAAGAAGGAAAGGGGAATGCTGACTCTCACTAGATTTCAAATTCTCATTACCCCGTGAAGGCTGAATGAGTACTCCATGCCAGGCCCTTGAGGTGGCCCCAGTGAAGCAAGCTACAGAAAGAGGGAAGTGCTGTATCACATCTGCCTTAAACCGGGAACAAGAGTCCACACCCACAGAGAAATGCATGTCATGGTCACTTCACATTTGTTTCACTAGGAATACTTTCTTCTCTTGGTGTTGAGGATGGAACCAGAAACTCGTGTCCCCACAGCCCACGCTCTGAGCTGTACGCTGGGGCCCTGAAGCAATGTTTTAAAATACTAAACCCATGCTGGTCAGCCTGCCCTACACCGCTTCATTTCTGCACTGTGGACATCTGAAAATCCTTTGGGTTTTTGGTTTTGTTTTTGAGATTTTATTTATTTTTATTTATGTGTGTTTGCCTGAATGTGTGTTTGTGTGCTATGTAGATGCAGTGCCTGCCTGTGGAGAACAGAACAGGGTGTCAGATCCCCTGCGACTGGAGATATAGATGGTTATGAGCCATCATGTGGGTGCTGGTAATGAAATCCAGATTCTCTGGAAGAAAAGCTACTGCTCTTAACCACTGAGCCATCCATCCAGCCCATTCTTCTGATATTTAGAAGACATTTTTTTTTTGTGTGTGTGTATGTGGTAGTATGCCTCATGACATAAATGCTCAAATTCTCTCATGGAAACTTTTTGGGGATAAAATATTTTTAAAATCTTCTAGGGGGTACTGGATCATGCCTTTAATCCTAACACTTGGGAGGTAGAGGCAGACAGATCTCTGTGAGTTTGAGGTCAGCCTAGCCTATGGAGTAAGTTCCAGGCTAAGGCTACACAGAGAAACCCTGTCTCAAAAAACAAACAAAAATATATTTTAAAAAGAAAACAGTATCAACAGCTAAGAATTGGTAAATGATTGTGAGCTTTATAGCTTTTCTGATTGACAGAAAAGTATGCATTTGTTGGAATTATAATTCATTATAGTAATGCTGGAGGATTTTTTTTTTTTTTTTATTTTGAGATATAGGCTCTGTATACGGCTTTGGCTGTCCTGGAGCTCACTCTGTAGACCACACTGGATTTAAACTCACAGAGCTCCTCCTGCCTCTGCCTCCCAAGAGCTGGGATTAAAGATGTGTGCCACCATGTCCAACTGAAAGATAATCTCAGCAAGGAACATTATTTCATGTCTGTAATTAGAGCTGGTGCCATGCTAAGGTGTGTATGTATAAAGACTGCATCTGACTATGGGTGGGGACATATTAGACTGAGGAAACAAGACTCTTTCCCTGCCGACTCAACATTTAAGTGAAACATCAACATTCAACAGTAGCTAATGAGGGGCATGCAAGGTGGTGGCCCTTAACTTTGCCTGCTGCTGCAGTTTGGATCTGAATTGATGACGAGAATGATGCTATGAGAAGGTGGTGGAGAGTTTAAAAGGCTGGGATTAGTTGGAGGCTTTAGGGTACCAGGCATCCGGTAATCCACCCCTCTGTTTTTTCTTCCGTCTATCATCCACTCATCTGGCTTTCATTCATTCTCTCATTTCATTTCATTCATTTCATGCATTAACCATGCATTAACCAGTGCATACAAGTATTCATTTATGCATGCATCCATTCACTTATCCACTCATCGTCCACCATGTATCCATTCCCAAAGAAATAATGCAACCCTAACCTACTTCCCCTCCTCTTCATTTCTCTCAATGTCATGACATGGAGGGAAAGGTTTGCCATGCTTTGCCACGATGATGCACAGCTTCACCACAGATCCAAAAGCCATGTCCTGAAACCTAGAACTAGAAGCCAAAATAAACCACCCACCCCCTTTTAAGCCCAATGTGTTACGATGATGGAGAGGTGACAAACAAGCATGGGTTAATCTTATTTTAAATGGAAAAATCTTATTTTAAAACATTGATACCAAGGGCTGGGGCTAGTTTGAACCCTAGCACTGTGACAATGAAAATGCTGAGCTTGTCGCCATCTCCATAAACAGTGTGGTGGAGGACTCACACCAATATTAAAGTCAAACAAGACACACAAATTAAGCCAGTCAAACGGAACAAAATAAAGAGCCATGCTGGACAGGGTCATAGACAGCCTCCTCTGGTTTTCTAGAATCCCAACAGTATCCCTGGGAACTAAAGCCACAGGGGTCACTGGCTCACCCAATATTACAACACAACTGGTCTATCCGACATGGGAATCCATCCGTTTCTGGGTTGGCAGGTCTAATGGCACTCATGACCCTGCCTATTCCCTCCTCTCACTACTCTGATGAGCTGGGGAGAATGGGAGCCTCCTCTTCCTCACTCGCCACCTCCTCCCTCCCTGGGAATTCCCACACAGACAGAGGTGATACAGATCTGCCCCCACTCCAGCCCACCCATCTTCATGCCCACATCCTCTCGGCATATGAACCAGGAAATAAAGGGTGTCCAAACCAAAAGCCCAGAAAACATACCTGGGAACGTTTGTTGCATTTGTGAAGGTGACTCCAGGGTCAGGAGAAGAGACAACATCTGTGGACTTAGGTAAGGGTTGGGTCATAGCTGTGTCTCTGTGCATGTTTTCTGTGGTAAAAAGGTCAGGAACTTTAGTCGGAATGATGTGAGGGGTGACCAGACTTGAAGAATCTGCAAGAAGATACATAGGATAGATAGATAAGTGGATGGACATATAATGGATGGATGGATGGATGGATGGGCGGATGGACAGATAGATGATTAGGTGAAGAGAAATGGAGCTGAAGAGGAAATGAATACGTCTATTTAAGAAGCAAGGTTCCACTTTACTAAAATCCAAACAAGCCAGCCTGAATCAGAGACAGAAAGAAATTAACGGGAAGGAAGAAAGGAGGGCGCTGGAAAGGTGTGAAGAAGACTTCCGGGCTGTCTGAGTTATGGAGATGCTCTTGTTTGCTGCTGTCCACCTCTCCGTCTGCCCTGGTGTCCTTCTTACACTGTTCTCTCGGCCTCTGTAAGTCACATCACTCCACCTTGACTGGTGTGTCACACCTGGGCTTCAGCTTGCACTTGGCACAGGCTCTCCTGGTTGTAGGAAGGGAGGCCTGTCTCTCTTTCCTCTGCCATCCTTAGTCATCCACTATTACTCACTGGGGATGCAGAGCCCAGCAAGGCACCAGCTCCTCCTCAGTGAATTCAGAAATTCAGAGAGGGCTCTTGTAAGCACACTGGCCCCCAGAAGTGAGCCTAGACACTTGTTCCTCATAAGCAAGTGTCACTTCAGGCCTACTGAGCCAGGGTGACCTCAGGTGGTTCACGCCCACAGCAAGGTCTGAGATACACAGTTTAGAAGCCCATGGGGGCCACCTATGGCATCTTGGGATGAGGAGAGTAGACTACAAGAGGCTTCAGTACCTGCAGCCATGCTGCAACCCAGTAGGGCTGCAGTGTTCACAATCTAGTCAATTCCAGGACATGCACACACCACCCAGTTATATGGGCCACAAATCTATGGAACCTATGGCACACTACTGATGTTGGCTATACCCAGGCCTCAGACTGCCAGTCCTGTGGGTAGACTGCACACGCAACTTCTTATAAACAGCCTTCAACTGCCCTCCAGGAACATAAGTAGCCTGTCAAAAGGGCATGACACTGGTGCGTATGGTACCACCACTGCCACAGTAACCACCACTAAGACTATCTGTGCAGCTTATTGCCATACAGCGCTCAGCCTGCTTACCCAGCCTATGGGCAGCAGATAGAGCCACCACGCCTATCCACATCTGCCGAGACTACCCAACTTCAATCTAGTACAGGGGTTAGAACGAGCCCTGCCTTGAGCATGGACAGAGTGACGGACTGCAGTTGTCACAGGTACCAGGAAACACCCCATGTAGCCCTGTTCTGTCGGGAGGCAGGCTTATCCAAGAATTTGTCAGAGACTTTGATGAAAAGACAAAAGGAACATTGATGGGGGATGTCCTTCTGTATGTGTTTCTCTTATTGGTTGGTGAATAAAACACTGTGGGCCAATAGAGGCAGGAAGATAGGTGGGACTAGGAGACGAGGAGAATTCTGGGAAAGGTAGACAGAGGCAGCCAGGAAGGGATGCCATGTGAAGACCTAGAGGATAGGATGTGTCAGGTGTTCTCTGGTAAGATAAGGCCACATAGAAATACGTAGATTAGTAGTTATGGGTGAATAGTTAAGACAGAGCTAGCCAACAAGAAGCCCTAGTCATTGGCCAACAGTTTTTATAATTAATGTAAGTCTTTGGGTGTTCGATTGGGGCTGATGCGGTGGGACTTGGCAGGACAAGAAAATCCAGTTACAGAACACCAGTCCTGTGTCCTTGCATAAGAGCAAACATAGCAAGGTCTGATCTGAGGCTAGGGCCTGGGCCTAGAAGGAGTTAAAGTTTCAGTTCCTGGTAATGAGACTTTTCCCCACTGGAGAGACGGGAGCTATTAATCCCATGGATGCTGAGCATGTAGTCTCTCTCACACTTGAGATTTCCTTTGTTCCCTTTGTGCAATATTGCTTGCTTAGATCCCTGATGACTTTGCCCCATTGTATGATAGCTTTCTGCTGGCTCTGTGCCATCCCTTCCCCCAACACACACACACACACACACACACACACACACACACACACACACAAAGTACATATAAGATGATGTACTGCTCATTTGTTTGAGACAGGATCTCACTCTGTCTGTCCTGGCTGTCCTGGAAATCACAACAAAAACGAAGCTGGCCTTGAACTCACAGAGATCCACCTGCCTCTGTCTATCAAGTGCTGGGATTAAAGGTGCATGTTACCATGCCCAACTGATGCTATACTTCTTAATAAGCTTGCTTGGCATAAGACCTAGCTTGTGCAAACCTCCTGACCCCAATTTCCAGCCTTTTTTATTATTATTTCTGAACCCCTGGTTCTTCCTCCCGGGTCATCCTACCAGCCATTCCTCTTCACAGCTGACTAGTTATGACCTCAGCAGCTCCTTTCGGCAGAGCTAAGGGCAAGCAGCTATGGGCAGCAGAGAAGTTATGGTCAACAAAGCAGTTATGGGCAGCAATCTCCCTCCAGTTATTTCACTCAGACTGGATCCTACAGCCAAGTCAACACAGCCTATAAAGTGCCATTCCAAGGAGCCCACCCTACACCCCAGTAGTGCGGGGGGTGTTTATGGGCAGGAGTTTGGAGGACTTCCTGCACCAGGAGAGAGTCGGAGCACAAGTGGCCAGGAAAGAATGGGGATTTAATCCTGGAGTCATGAGCAGAGTTAGAACAAGCTCTGGAGATCGAGGCAGCTTCAATAACCCTGGTGGACACATGGGTGAAGGGGCAGATCTTGCTGTATTATAGATCTCCCTATAAATCTTGAAGACTAGGGCAGCAGTGCACTTTATGTTCAAGGATTCAATAGTGTGGCTCTGGATCTAGCAGATTTCCTTAAGTGTTGTGTTAGGATGGCAACCCATGGTCCACCTCTACCTGGAAAGGGAAACAGGAAAACCTGGAAAGGACACCATGATGTCTCAGGAGGATCTGCCAACTGCTAAGGTCCCTATGGATTGGCTTGATGGAAGATTTATAAAGAAGCCTCTGATGAACAGCATGTAGAGTAGTATGCTACCTTCAAAGGGCAGAAGGATGCCACCACCAATCTGCAGAGGCCCTGATGACCCAGGAGGTCCTGAAGGATCCATGGGTTACATAAGAGGTCATGGAAGAAACAGAGGAAACCTCCCCCCAAGAGGGCCCTGAGGTTCCAGAGAGACCTATCTTTGGAGGAAGTCAGAGAATGACAATATCCAACCTGAACTGTAGAAACCAGAAAATTCCTGGAGAGTGGAGTGCACCCAGGGTAAGCCTGAGCACTTCCTTCCCAACCCTTCCCACCTCTGGTTGTGGATCCTGGCAGAAATGTCACTGTCAGCAGATGGGGAGGAAGAAATGGCCATCTGCAAGGAAAGTTATGAGGTTTCTTCAGAGGGTTGCCATGGCATGGACCAAGATGATTTGTGTGAAGGAAAATGAAGTGACAAAAAGGGACCTTTGATGGAACAGACTTACTATTTAAGTCAGAAAATGTCCTAAATCTATAGTTCCATATTTATGTGTTGGCCATGACATTGCTCTGAAGAAACAAGCTGAATGGTTAGTTAAAAAAGAAAGGCTTCCTAAGGACATGACTTCTAAGCAGAGAGCTCAGAAATTGAACTAAATCATATTCTAAATCTACTGCTTATCTCCTCTCACCGGGAACCCATACACAGGAGCCCCTAATTACTATTGGGCCAAGCCCCTGCCAACAGCCTTGGATGGCAGGCAAGGAAATTCTGGCAGGAAGCTGGGCTGCTAGGAATCCTGGGCACCGCCCCACACTTGCCTGGCCTCCCTCTCCCACTCCCCCCCCAGACACTTTCTGGTCACTCACCCTTGGTCACCACCAGGCGGACAGGATGGAAGAGTAGGACAGGGTCGTTGGGAGGGCGATAAATCACACAGCGATACAATCCAGAGTCTGTCACTCGAACGTCAGTCATTTGGACATGTAACATGGCCTCACCATCTTTCAGGGTGTACTTCCCCATGTGGACTTCACTGGGTTTTGCAGACGACTTCTCTGTGGCCACCAGTGTCAAGGGCTCCTTTCCGTCTGGCAGCCTCTGCCAAGCCTTCCGGCTGCTGGAGTACTTCATGATGTTGAAGGGACAGCCCACTGTCAAGGTCTGTCCCTCAACTAAGTCATACCTTTCCTCATCTGGATCAGTGGCAGCTTGGACTTCTATAAATAGGAAAAGGGAAACCGGCTCTGAACAGAACAGTCTTCATCCAAACTCTATACTGGGAAGGAGTTCTGGCTTTTTGTTTGTTTTGCTATAAGAGCCCAGAAACTGACAACGCCAAGTCATGGCTTCAGCTGTGCTTTCAAGCCACACCCCTGGCTTCCCTGGTAACTAAGTCAATAAATCCCTCCTATTTTTCACAGAAATCAAGCCTTGTTTCTTCACTGGGTGCCCCCCACTGGGTTTAAGGTGTCCGTCACTGGGTGTAAGGTGCTGGGAAACGTTTTCGTTTTATAAACAGGAATGAGAGTGTGCAAGGGAGGAGGCTTTCAAGAATCCTACAGTGCACAGTATGGTCCTCACAAGCCAGTGTCTCATCCAAAATGTCAGCAGTGCCAGGCTTGGAAATGCCAGGGTTGCGGGGACTGTAATCTCAGCACCACATGGGAGTGGGGCCATGAAAACCACCTGGACTTGAACTGAGTTCTCTCCCTGATGGAAGGGAGCCCTGCGATGTGAAGACAGCTGGGCCATTGACACCAGCTCTGGAAGTCACTGAGAAACTAGCGTGTGGCCACTTAGGCCTCGATGTCATTCTCCAACAAAGGCACAGACAGAACCCGTGAGGGGGCCTTCCACTTCCCGAAACTTCTCCTGCTGTTAGTGCTGCACACACACACACACACACACACACACACACACACACACACACACCACCCAGATAAGCTAAGACTTACCACTTTAGAAGAGCCCTTGCCTGCCCACACAGGATGTGACTGACCCAGAGCCTGCTCTGCCTTCAGCCAGCCATGCTAGGACTCACCTCAAGGCCTCGGGGGATTTTGTAAATGAGCCAAGCTCAAAGACCAATTAGATCTCTAAGGGACCCTCACAAGCAGGCTTCCCGATACTCTGGCTGGGAATGCCTTCCACACTCAGCATGGCAGTGCACACCTGTAACTCAGAACTCCGGAGGTGGAAGTAGGCAGGTCAGGAAAAAGTTCAAGAAAATCCTCAGCCACACAGTGAATCTGGGCTCAGCATGGGCTACATGAGGTCCTGCCTCAGGAAAAAAGAAGAAGAGGGTGGCAGAATGTGCCCCCCCACACACACACACAGACAGGCTAGCAGAGGCTCAGGGCTGTGTTGAACCAGCTCTGATTACTCCATCACAGGATAGTGAATCCATCCTGTGTGACACATCCATGGGCTTCACCCTTGAGTTGTTTCCATGGAAGTACTGACTCACTGAAATGTTACAAACCAATACACAGGGTTGGGGGGCTGGTCCAGCCCTGCTCAGCTCATGTGGGAAGCTGGGCTCTCCAGCGCCAGCATTTGATGAAGAGCTGGGATTACAACCTCCATGAGGACAGACTGTTCATACCTTTGGCCTCTGGAGTAGCAGATTTGACGCCCAAGGTAACCCTGGGAAACAGCTGTTAAATGAATTACTTCTTTGAGGTCCACATCAAAAGCACAGTGGGAGAGTAGAAGAAAAACATCCCAGCGTGAAACAATATCAGTCAGACGGCTGGGCGCAGTGGCTCACACATTTAATTCAGCATTAAGGAGGCAGAGGCAGGGAATCACTTGGTGAGTTCGAGGCCAGCCTGCTCTACATAGACAATTCCAGGACAGTCAGGGTTACAAAGAGAGACTGTCTGAAAAAATACACACATGTTCTTCAGGTCATGCCAGGTTTGGATGGTTGGATCTGCTTCTTTAATACAAATACACAAGAAGCTAGGCAGGGGGAGTTCAAAGACAACTCGGTTATAAGTGAAACCGTATGCTATTGTAATTGTTTTCCACTGAAGGATCTGACATAAAAATGCACACAGAGTCTGGGGCTGCAGCAGTGGTAGAGCAGTTGCCTGGTGTGTATGAGGTCCTGGGTTCCATCCCCAGCACTGCAAAAATAAACAGCAGTTAAGAGCACTTACTGCTCTCGCACAAGACCAGGGGTTGCAACCATCTATAACTCCAGTTCCAGGGCAATCTGATGTCCTCTTCTGGCCTCCTTGGGTGCCAGACATTTATGTGGCATGCATGCATGCATGCAAACACACAAATATGAGTTTTAGAAAAAAGTGTAGACCACCTGCCTCTCTAATTCACCCTTCTTGTATCTCTGTTCCTCCGCCTCAGGTGTCTGATTCTCTGAGCTCAGGTGAAGCCTGCCCCGGCCTGAAATGAGAGGGTCATTTGCTCTAGAGCAGTGGTTCTCCAGCTTCCTAACGCGATAGCCCTTTAATACAGTTCCTCATGTTGTAGTGACCTCCAACCACAAAATTATTTTTAGCGCTACTTCATAACTATAATTCTGCTACAGTTATGAATCGTAATATAAATATCTGGGTTTTGGGTTTTTGAGACAGGGTTTCTCTGTGTAGCTTGGAAGCCTGTCCTGGAACTCACTCTGGCCTTGAACTCTCAGAGATCTGCCTATCTTTGCCTCCCTGGTGCTGGGATTAAAGTTGTGCATCACCGGCAATATCTGTTTTTATTTTGTAGTCATATGTGACCCCTATGAAAGAACCATTTGACCCTCAAAGGGGGGCGTGACCCACAGGTTGAGAAGCACTGCTTTAGCGCTTAAGCAGAAACGAGCTTCATGGGGTTAGGGAGGTGTCTCTGCTGGTACAGCACTCGCTGTGCACAGGCATGAGGACCTGAGTTTGGCCTCCAGCATCATGTAAGAAGTCTAGTCCCAGCACCAGGCAGGCAGAGACAAGTGGGTCCTTGGAGCATGCTGGCCAGCTGGCCTAACAGATAAGCCAACTCCAGGTTCAAGAGCGAGGTAGATCCAGGAGTAACGGTGCAGCACACTCTTGGTTGTAAGCCTAGCCTTTAATGGCTGGACCATCTCTCCAGTCCAGTTCTAGGCCAGGCAGGTAACATAGAGAAATCATGTCTCAGGAAAAGAAAAATGTGAAAAGCAATTGAGGAAGACACCCAGTGTCAACCTGAAACACACACACACACACACACACACACACACACACACACACACACACAGCTTCCTACATCCTCCGCTAGAACTCTCACCTGCCAGTCACCTGGTCTACATAACAAGTTCCAGGTTACATAGCGAAATCCTGTCTCAAAAAGAAAAAAAGTGGAAAGCAATTGGGGATGATACTCAATGTCAACCTGTAACCTAAACACTCCTACACACACACACACACACACACACACACACACACACACACGCACGCACGCGCGCGCGCACACGCGCACACACACACGCACGCACACGCACACACACACACGCACACACACACGCACACGCACGCACACGCACACACACACACGCACACACACGCACATGCACACGCACGCACGCACATGCACACGCACGCACACACACGCACACGCACGCACACGCACACACACACACACGCACGCACACACACACGCACGCACACACACACGCACGCACAGGGCTGCTAAAGTCCTAAGCACCCTCACCTGCCCCTCCTCCCACCTGTCTTACCTAACCCAAGGAACATCCAGAGTAGCCCCAGGAGCCCAGCCTTCCTCATCCTCCAGGTTCAGCTCCAACTGCCTCTGTGGGCTGCGGGGATGGCTATAAGGCACCCCTGACCCTGAGCTCCCTGGGAAGTTTCACAACAGGACGTGAGGCCATTCCTGGGAGGCTGTCACTGGCCACCCTGCCTGCTGACGTCAGTGGGGGAGTTCAGGGGACCAAACCTCAGTTTAACCTCCACGGACCTGTTTCCTCTTCTCCAAAAATTATTCTCTCCTTTTCTGTCTGGTTTTTTGGTCAGTTGGTTGGTTGGCTTCACTGTTTCAGGTTGGTTGTTTGTTTGAGACAGGCTATGTGGCTCTGGGCTGTCCTGGGACTCACTATATACCAGGCTGGCCTAGAACTCACAGAGATCTGCCTGCCTCTGCTGGGATTAAAGGCACCACCATACCCCATAATAATTACCTTTCCAATTACACAAAAATATTTTTACTTGTTTTTATTCAGAGAAGGTTTTGCAGCAGAGCCCAGGCATCCCTCTAACTTGCCATGTTCCACGCTGAGGTGACAGGCACAGGCCAACATGCTGGTCCTCAATCTCAGAAAACTGGAGCGAGAGTAACTGTAATCAACTCTTGTGCTGCCTTAACATCCGTCTCAAACACAAGATCGACTTTCTCGCTCCAGAAACAGGAATCCATTGCCTCTGACATGGTTTCCAGCACGCCGTGGTGCAACAGTTCCTGAATATGCTGAATCCAACTTCCTCTTGTGACCACCTTTGTGGGGACAACTAGACACAGCCTCCTTGGCTGACCCCACACCCTCTGAGGATACCTTAGTTAATGAATGGCATGCCAGACAACTGTGATTCTCCCCTGGGGATGGAGTGGGCACCGCGCAGCAACGCATGACTGGGGCACTGTCCTTCCGACTGGCAGCCTGTACGGTCAGGTCTGTAAGTGCTGATCGTAGCCACCAACCCACAGGTGATCCCTGCTTGTCGGCCACACGCCAGTATCTATGGCATTTGCTACAGTGGACATCCCTTTGTTACTAAGTCCCTTGCTCTGCCGTCCCTGGTCTAAACCTTGGCTTGATGGAAGCCTGCTCGTCTTCTCCACCATGGTGGGCTGTGTCCGCTGGAACTCAGAACCACACCGAACAAACACTTCTTCCTTAAGTTGCCATTGTCCAGTATTTTGTCAGTGAGGAAACTAATTAGTGCAAACAAAAATGTCCCCGGAGGATGCGCAGATGAGGCTTGGATGAATGCACGGCTTCCTTGGGGACTGCAGAACTAGCGGTAATCGTGTCAGCCTGGTGAAGCTCTACACTGGGGCCTGGGGCTCCACGATGAGGCGTCCAAGCAGAGGGTGTCTGCCACCCGCCGTATGCCAGCCACACGGCGGTGTCCATCCTTTGTCCTTGCGAAGGAAGAGATCTCCTTTCCACCACTGGCTTACAATGTCATCAAAGGCATTCAGAAGAACAACTCTAACACTCACCAGGACCTGAATGCCTACGTGATGAAATTGCATGTGATGACGGAGCACAGAGGTACCGTATGAGCCTTGAGCAGCAGCAGCTGCTGCTGCACAACCTCCGGGGGTAGGGGGGGCAAACCAGGGCTGCTGCAGAAATAGGAGTGCCTCTGCATGGTTGAGGTCCCCAAGGAGCAGGGCCACCTCCTAGGAGACGCCACACCTTGGTGAGCTGCTCCTCGGGAGCTCAGCTCTGAACTGTGACACCCGGTGGGGCCTCAGGGACTGCGCTCATCCTCCACTCCCCAAGCTTGTATTTATCTGCCACAGAATGATGGGAGAGGGGGCAGCTGCTCCCTTCGCTTCCCTCCTCTCTCCCTATCCCTGGTAACTGTTCACATGTACCAGATACGTACTATTCCAGTTAGCCGCAGGTTCGTCAAATGTTTGCATGGGACTCACTAGGTCTGCACTCAGCTGGCATGAATTTGATGCTGTGAAAGAGGATGTAAGACTGAAAAACTAAGTCACTGTCTTAGCCTGCGTGGGCCTGGGAATTCATTTCTTTCTGCACTGATTTTCACACCTGTAACATTCATGGAGGATGCCTGCACTCCCGGTAATAGTGTTCAACTCCCTGGGCCGGACATTACCCCTAAGTGGTAGGAGACTTTGCAACTAACAGGATCCCTCTGGCAGTTGCCAGCCAAGGGGAAGTGTGTGCTAAAGGAGGAAGGAGGGCCTTCATGGCTTCCCATGTGGGACATGGCTGCTAGAATCCACAGCAGTGTCACTCAGGCCACGCCCTTCTGCAGCTGGCTTCTTCCAACCCCAGACCTGGTTCTGCAGCCAGACCCCAGGCTAACAGACCCCCAACTACCAGGCCCTGCCCATGAAGCCTAGGATGCTGGAGTACGTCAGTTCGATGGACCCCTTCCCCCGTGGTCCCCATCTTTGGTTGCACATTGACTCCTTAAAATGCAAGCGCTTCTCCCTCCCTCTGGGGCCCAGAAAAATCCAATTGTAAGTATGGATCCGAACAACTCAATCACCATGGGCTCTGAAAATACTAACAAGGGACCCCTAAAAGCTTTCTCTTAGGAGAAGCCACCAACCAGCTCCCAAAACCACGACACAGAGACTTATTAAACATGGATGCCCGGCCTCGCTTTAGGTTTGTCCCACTAGCTATTATAACTAATTTAACTTAATTTCTCTTCAGTCGCATCTTGCCTCCGGGCTTTTTAACCTCTCCCTCATTCTGTATGACCTACTTCATGTCTGACCGGCTGGTGGCTGCCTGCCTGGCTGGCTGGCCCCAGGCATCTCCCTGTCTTTCTCTCTCATTTTTGAACCTAGACAGAGGCTCCTTAGGACCCTTAGGTTGCTGTGGCCTACGGGGTCTCTCAACCTCAGCATGGCTCCTTCCTCTTTTCCCCTTCCCACTGTTCCCAGAAACCATGGACTGAGGTGCCTGCCTTATCTATAAGCTCTGTGTCCTGCTCAGTTTCCTGCCAATTTTCACCCCAGAGGCAGCCACACTCCTGGGGTTTTCCTTCCCAATAAACCTCGAGTGAAGTTTGTTGTGCAGTGTGACATTTTTGCCAGAGTAGAGTCCAGCTGTACCAACTTTCACTGGCAGGGAGTAGAATAAAGCAGAACATTTTCTCCTAGCCCAGCAGAATTATAAAAACCTGGGGGGCTTGAACAAAGCTGTAAGGCTTCTCTGGAGCAGTTGCCAGAGCAGAGTTATTATACTTGCATTAGGGAAACCTTTCCCTAGAGCAGCACTGTAAATCACTGTGAGTATAGTTACTCGGGATATTCCTTGGTTCTTACTGCCAGAAAACCTTACCACCAGAGCTGCAACACTTCCAGGGAGAGTGTCCTCCAAACTGTGCTTCTACTTTGAAGAATACTAGGTTCTTTCTGGGGAGTGTGTGGTACTGTGCCAGGGTCTAATGACTTCCATCACACAATCCTCCTGATCCAGCCTCCCTGATGCTGGGATCTCAGGTTCCTGGACTGTGCCCAGCTGCATTCACTGGCATTTCCCCTGATCTAAAGAGTGTCACAGTAGACTTGAAGGTAGAGATGGGCATAGAAGCAGGCCACAGGTTTAGAATTATTATTGATATTTGGTATATCCAGCCTCTACTGCTAGCCAGGAGCCCTCCATACCCTGTAATTCTGGGGATCTTTTCTTCCTATTCTTTTTTTTTTCCTCTGCTATCCCCCAGGCTTCCAGGCCAGCAGCAATAACCACAGGTCATTTCCTTGCACCCTCTCAGAGTGTCTTCTCACTATGGTCTCTAGGAATCCTGTTGGAACACCATCCAAGAATGGAGCTGCATGGGTAGAATTCTGAGTGCTTGTGAGAAAACGCCAAGAACACAAGAGTCTTGTGACCTCTGTTCCTTCTAAACATGGTATTTGTTCTTAGAATGTGCTTTCATGACGCACCCAAGTATAATAAATAGGAGTGGGTTTGCTTCATATTATCCGCTGTCTTATTATTATGATTGTATACGGCGTGAACTCATGTGATCCTCGCTCATACGACCTTGCTTAACCCTCCGAGTATAAGTTGTCGGATGCTCTAAATGAAGTTGGCTATTGCATGAGCCTTTAGTCCTGCCTCATTCTTAGGTTCCAGTCTCCCAGATCCCACCACCTCGAGATCAGGGACCTGAAATCGACTACAACCAGAGAGTGGAGAACCCTCACAGGAGGAGGTGGGTGAGGGGAACAGTGGACATGTTAACTGCCTTAAGTTTCACTTGGGCATCATTTTCCAAAGAAAGGAGAAGTACACATATCAATAGCACCACTATTAGCTTGCTAGCAAGCCGTTTGTAATTATAACCCCTAGTTTCCAGAAGAAGGAACTTTGGGTGGAGAAGTAAGGGACAGAGTCAGAGAATATTGGAAAAGGTCAATATAAACAAAGGAAAGAGGCCCTCATTCAATTTTGGGTCACTTGGAAATATGTTAGGAAAACAAGAGATGGCTAGTTGCCTCAAAAATTATACAAGGTCACTCTGAGCCTGCTGCTGATTTCATAAGGTGACTCAAAGATGCTATTGAAAAACAAGTAAAGAGGGAGTAAATTCAAGAGCTATTGTTAAACAGTTAGACTTTGATAACTGTAGGGTGAAAGGGGCCAAGGGAAAAACACCCTGTCCCACACTAGAGCAGAGACTTGGGCCAAGGAAAATACCCTGACCCTGACTTGACCCCAGGACCAGGACTTTGAATCCCACCAACCCCTCAGCTTGCCCTAAAATCAGGCTACAAAAACTCACCAATCCCAAGCCACCTGGAAAATCTCCCCCAACCCCAAGAAACCCTAAATAAGCTCTGTGCCCTGTTCAGTTGCTGCTGCCTCTGCCCCTAGCAGAGCCAGATGCTCTCCTGGATCCATCCTTCCCAATGAACCTCTTGAGTGAGCTTTGCTGTGCAGTGTGACACTACCCTGAGCAGAGCCCAGCTGTAGCAGCTTTCCCTAGAGAGGAGCAGAGCTTTAACACTTTCCCTGGGGGATCTTTCCCTTAGCCAAGCAGAGCTGTAACATTCCCAGGGTACCTGAGCAGAGCTGTA